CGGCCCCTCTAAGGTGGAGAGGAACCAGCGACACAAATATTCGTCCGACGCCCCCACCATCATCATGCTGTTCTGGTACTTGCTGTAATGTTCCTGGGGGTCCGTTTTTCCGTTGTAGGGCTGTATGTGTTGCCCTCGGTATTTTTCTGGGATTCGGGCCGCCAATACCCTTGGGGTAAATGGCGTCCGAGTCCGGAGCTGGATGACGGGTTCCCCGGAGCCCTCGGCCACATTCTTCTGTAATTCCTCCATTTTGGCCATCATGGCCTCGTATTTGAGGTCTGAGTGAGGGGTGGAGGTGGTGGCGTGAGCTTTGTTGGACTCCATTTCGTCAAGCCGGCGCTGGAGGGCCGCAATAATCTCGTCCCGGGGATCCTTCGGGAGGGTCTCCGCCCCCTGCGAACGAACCCGGGCCGAGTGGGCCTGGTTGATCTGGTGGCGGGCATCATCGGCATGAAGGGGTGCCTTGCCTTTGTCCCGAGGGGGACGCTCCTCGTCTGCCCTCGAAACAGATCCCCCGCTTTCCTGGGGCCTTTGGAGTGCTTTCCCCCCGAGGCGGTCTTGGACCCCTCGGCGGTCTAGCCCTCCTCCGAGCCGGTTGAGGGCGGAAGTGCGGGGCCTTTCCCTGTTGTCATTATGGCGGTCCCGGGACTGAACTTCCTGGGAGGACGTATCTTGGGCCACCACCCCTTCGTCATTTCTCACCCGAGGGGTGGGATTTCCGAAGGGGTGTGGCAGAGGGGGAAGTATGATATTTTCCCCGATTTGAGGGTGAGCTGGAGCCAGGGTGCCGAAGGCACCCGGGTTCTGGGTGAGCGTCTGGATGAAGGCGGAGAGCGCCGATTGCACGTCGATGGTGAGTACCGGAGGGCTGACTTGGTCATCGATCCGGTTTTTCTTCTTGGCCTCGATGCCGAGGCGGGCATCGGGGGCATTTTGTTGGATCTGAAGGCGTAGGTCGACAGCCGCCTGTTCCAGCCCAGCGATGACACCGCCCTCGGGAGCCCTGTGAGAGGCTTCGGGGGCGTTGACGTCGCCGAGGGCCAGGTTCTTGTCTTCTACGTTCTTTGAGTTGGCACGTGTTGTCCTCACCATTTTGATAGAGGGCTAGTGTTTTGTGTTTGGTCGAGGGGGAGGGTTTCTTACTCGATTGTTCAGCCTCTCAATGAAAGCACCAAATGATGGATAGTCTACCCGGGGGTATATATCCGAAGGGTTATTACGGGGAATAACTTAGAGAGAAGTCAGAGCAAACAAGTAAGAGAGAGAGTGTATATTCGATATGTATTAAGCGTGGTTACAAATGGGGAAAAGGGGTGCTATTTATAGAAGCAATAAATGCCGGGCAGGGACACGTGTCAAGCGCTCATTGGCCGAGGGGTCACCTCAACTGGTTGGCGCTGGCAGCCGCATGTGGCCGCATTTAATGCGGCTGTTGGATGGGACGTCTGTGCGGGGTACGGTGATCTGTACGCATGTGAGGCAGATATCTTGTCGAGTGAGATGCCTTCGGCTATAGAGCAGTAACCGAGGGCTCTCCCACCCGATGGCACCCTGGTGCCGAGGGCTCACAGTGCCGAGGGCTACTGTTTTCGCCGTTTTCTCCCAGTTTCCTAATTTGCTTGAGAAACCCGCTCTGTGATAATTTGGAGCCTTCGGCCAGGGGGCCGAAGGCACCCCTGTGCGTTGTGCGGACTGCTTGGTACTCTGGGCGCTGTGATTTGGGCCTGTTGGGCCTTTGATGGAGCAGTAGGAGTCTGTGGGCCGGGGGTTCCCGGGCCATATACTCCATCAGACCTGTAACATATTGCTTGAACTAAACCACCCGCTGCCCAAGGCTTCATTAGTTTACTGTGACAATATCAGCAGCGTTTACATGTCCGGTAATCCAGTCCAACACCAACGTACAAAACACATCGAAATCGATATTCATTTCGTCCGCGAGAAAGTGGCTCGCGGCGAGATCCGGGTTTTACATGTACCCTCCCGTCATCAATTCGCAGACATCTTCACCAAGGGACTTCCACGTGTATTGTTTGAAGATTTCCGCTCCAGTCTCAACGTCCGGTCTCCTCACGCTTCAACTACGGGGCCGAATTAACATACATGGCTCATGCGTAACATGCATGGCCATGCACGAGCATCATGGCTCACATTTGCCACCGTTAGAGAAGCTCCACTTGCCCCTTCATTTTCTCATGCTTTTATTAATCATTACTTTTCCATTATTTATTATGTTCATTAAATAGCATTAGTTTAGCTTCTATGGCCTTTTCATTTGGCCTTACGCATGTAACTGCTGTGTGCAGTATTTATACACACCTTAGCATGAATAATACGCAAGCAGCATTCTATCTAATTGTTATATTAGATAGAATATGAAGTTATATCTTGTGCATGAGTTACTTCTTTTTATGCGTGATAACATTTGGATTTGTCTCAACAAGTTACATTTTACATACACCGAGTTAAATTTTCCATCAATACGACTTACATTTTCCATAGCACGAGTTACATCACACAATAAACTCCTGATATTGAAACAAAAAATCATTTTTTGGCAAAAATGATATTTTAAACATTTTTATACCTTAATATTAAAAACAAAACATATTCACTATTTACATTGAAATTCATGCTATATTTCTTAGGATGTTTTTACTTGGACTGTAATTTGCTACTCTGGTCTGGTCTGGTCTGGTCTGTTTTAGTCTGGTTTGGTCTGGTCTGAAATTTTATTTTTTATATTTTTGCATAAAGAGTTTATTATATATATATATATATATATATATATATATATTATAATCCATAAATAATTATATTTTATTCATTTATAATTAAAAATAATAATATTCCTTCCAAATTATCGAAAATTGTTATCGTTTTACTTAGACTGATTTCAATCCCAGACCGAAGGAGATCAGACCAGATCATACAAATACATAACAACTCAAACTAGACCAGATCATATCAGACTACACTGGACCAGTCCAAATAAAAACAGGACAAAAGATAAAATTAGGCAATTGGCCCAATATACTCACATAGTCACACATATATATAAATTGTTGCAAGGGTAGGAACTTACGTATGTTCCCTAGCAGTGTGCGGCTTCTCTACTTTGACTTTCCCCATATCATCTCTCTTCGTTTAAGTGTCTTTTACCATGATGGCATGCTCTGAATTTCAATTCTCTTCAAATTGAATTTCACAGCATCACACCACATATATACGTACATGATTGTATGTGACTGTTTCGTATAGTGCTTAGGGAATTCTACCGGGGTTTCGTATATAATACATGATTGTACATGACTGTTCCGTATATATATGTATAGACATATAATTAAAAATATTATCATATATAAGTACTTCACTTCAATTAATTATGAAGTTATAATTGTGTATTATTTTACTATCAATTATAGACAATGTCAAGGAAGACACCTTGGAATGACACCACTACAAGTCTACAACTACATTTTTGAAGATTTGTGCTGAAGAAAAAGCAAAAGGAAATACTAAATATGATTGGAATAAAATTGTAAACAACCTTCATGCACAAACGGGTGCTCTTTTTTATTGTAAGAAAGCGTGAAATCACTTTAGTGAGTTGAAAGATAAATACTCCCTCCGGTCCTAAATAAACTTTACACTTTTCATTTTGGGTATGTTTAAAATAAACTTCACACTTCTTCTCTCTTCCTTATTTGGCAAATTATCTACATCAAAACAGTGCAAAACAGTGTCAAACAGTGCCAAATAGTGTCACAATAGTGTACTCTACAGTAAAGTCAGATTTATTTCCTTAATTTGTGTGAATTCAAAGTGTGAAGTTTATTTAGAACCGGAGGGAGTATAAAACATGGGTCGGCCTTCAAAATTGCACTGCAATAAATTTTGATCGAGTTACGGGTGAAGTTCAAGTAGGAGAACATTCCTTAGATAGATGGAAAGCATATCAAGAGGTAAAAATGCACTTGCCTTTTTCTTTAATTTCAAATTCTATTCTCTAAATAAAAGTTATTTACTAATAATAGTAATAATAACAATAATAAAATATGGCCTGCTTTGATGTGGTCTGGTCTGGGACGAATTACAGTCCAAGTAAAAATAACCTGATACAACGTATTAGACAAGTTACATTTCAATGTGTCTGTCATTACATTTCTTATCAAAGTGGGTTACATATCTGTACACACGAGTTACATCATCATGTTACTGAGACAAAAAAAATATTTTTCACGTGTGTTACTTTTCTCGTATGTTTTAGCTTTATGAGCACCATGCTCATCATGGGTTGCTTCCTAGGCTTGGACTCGGGTCGGGTCGGGGCCGGGCCGGTTCCGTATCCATAGGCCCGAGACCGGCCCGGGTCTTGACCGGTTCCGGGCCGGGCCGGTTCATTTTTTTAATTCTTATTTATTTCACCCCCACCCCCATCCCCCCCAACCCCCCAAACCCCTCGGAAATACCCAGCCTAGCCCAACTAACCCCAGCCCAAACCAAAAAAATAAAAAAAAAATAAAAAAGGCCCGAACAGGGCCCGGGCCAGCCGGGCCGGTTCCCCTTTCCCTTACCCGTGCCCGGAACCGGTAGACCCCCCGGGCTTAGGCCCGAACCGGAACTGGACCCGGTTTCCCGGGCCGGGCCGGTTCCCAGGCCGGGTGGCCCGCACCGAGTCCAAGCCTAGTTGCTCCCAAGATATAACAACCGAATCATATTATAGATTGGAAATAAATTTACCATGAGGTAAATTTTAATGTTTTGACACTGTTTCGACACTGTTTGGCACTGTTTTGCACTGTTTTGATGTAGATTAACTTGTCATTTAAGAAAATGAGAACTTGTTTCCCGGACATCCAAAAAAAGGAAATTGGGAAGTTCATTGAGGAGGGTGTACTTTTATTCTAGCGAAATTTTCTCTTCAAATATTTGTAAATGTTTGTAAATTTTCTCTTCAAATATTCTAGAGTTCAACCTATGCTGGACTCTTCACGCTTAATAGCGGGGAAGAGAAATTAATAGGGAGTACTTAATTGGAATATATCTGCACGTGCATTGCCATTTTCCAAAAAAATCGCGCCCTTCTAACGGAAAACGCAAAATCCAATTTGCTTTCTTCTAAACCATCCTTTCAGTCATTCACTCATTTCCTGTGCCCCATCTCAAAGCAGTCCACTTCTCTTCCCCACTATTTCCCAAGTGTAAATCTCTCTTTCGTTTGATGTGATCTGAGAATTCTTTGTTTTCAGGTGAGTTTCATCGCTTTCTTTGAAAGGTAGCTCTCTCCAATACGCAGTGCTTGGTTTCTTACCGATAGACGTGCCAGAAGCCCAGAAATATCGATTTTGCAGCTATGTATAGTTACCTTTTGTGAATAAATTAATGATTCGGGATTTTCGTAGCTGCTCCTTGAAGGAATTTATTAATTAATTCAATGAAACAGGGAATAGTAGGATAAGGGAGGTCAGAGTCTGTTTGTATGCATTGAAACCTAACGTTTGTTTCCTTTAATTGACCAAAACGGTTTCCTGAGTTTGCACGCAAAATATTAAGTGCTTTGAATTAAATTAAATATATGTACACGTCTGAGTTCTGACGTCTTCCGTAGCTATAAAGGAAATTATTTATCACTAGTAATTAGACTGATAGTTTTTCACTTCTCTATTTCTCTCTGAAATTTTTACAGTGATGAAGAAGAGTGTTATTCTCTTTTGTTAGGGCATATACCTCCAGGTCAGAGAAACAGGAAGAAATGGGATCCAAGTTCATATTCTTAGCAATTATGTACTGGGGATCTCTTTTCTGCTTGACTAGAGCCGAACCCAATGAAGATAAACAAGCACTTCTTGATTTCATTAATAACATCCACCACTCTAGGGAGTTGAATTGGAATGAGCAGGCATTCGCCTGTCAGAGCTGGGTTGGAGTTACTTGCAATCATGATAAGTCTAGAATTATATCGGTCAGGTTGCCCGGGATTGGAATGGTTGGCTCAATTCCTACAAATAGCCTAAGCCGATTGTCTGCGCTTCAGATTCTGAGTTTGAGATCCAATCATATTTCTGGCCTTTTCCCTTATGATTTGCTAAAGCTTGAGAATTTGACAATGCTCTCTCTCCAATCAAATAACTTCCATGGTCCTCTGCCGGCCAGTCTTTCTGTTTGGAGAAGTATTTATGTCTTGGACTTATCGAATAATGCCTTTAATGGGAGTATACCATCCGCCATGACAGACTTGACGCACTTAACAGTTTTGAATCTCGCGAACAATACATTCTCCGGTGATATTCCTGATCTTAACCTTCCTAGCTTGCAGATATTAAATCTTTCCCATAATAATCTCACTGGGAATGTGCCTCAATCTCTAGATAGATTCCCTAATTCAGCCTTTGCTGGTAACCAGCTTTCTCGAGAGATCCTTTTTACTCCAGCTCCTTCTGTTCTCCCTCCTGGTTTTCTGCCAAACAAGAAGTCCAAAAAACTTAGTGAATATGTACTTTTGGGAATCACAATTGGAGTTTGTGGTTTGGGGTTTGTGGTAATTTCCGTGTTGCTGATTCTTTCCTGTTCGCGAAAAGAAGATGATAATGGTATTCCAGCAAAACCACTCAAAAGAGATGAATCTTTAAGCAAGGTAGCTTACAGAAAGACTCAGAACGAAAAAGGAAATGTGGTATTCTTTGATGGTTGCAATCTTTCATTTGACCTTGAAGACTTGTTGAGAGCTTCTGCCGAAATTATAGGAAAGGGGACATTTGGAACCACGTATAAGGTAGCTTTAGAGGATGCAACTACGGTTGTGGTCAAGAGATTGAAGGAAGTAAGTGTGAGGAAGAGAGAATTTGTACAGCAGATGGAGGCCATTGGGAATATCAAGCATGAGAATGTGGTTCCTTTGAGGGCATATTACTACTCCAAGGATGATAAGCTGATAGTGCATGACTACTACAGCCGTGGGAGCGTGTTTTCCATGCTACATTGTATGTCAAATATATGAGTCTCTACTTATGCTTCTTTGTTTACTATTTTTTAATATCTGTGCTGATTCTTTTAACATTTTGTGAAAACTCAGTTGAATTAACTTGTCCTGGCTTCTTTCCCATTATTTAGGTGAAAGCCTGAAAGGAAGTTTATAACGGGTTGTCCTATAACATCACTAAATTAGAGCTCATAGACAAAAGTATGACTACATGCTCACCCCAGTCACTACTGGCTACCGCATACTTGTGTAATATCACCACGATCACTGTACTCACTGTAAAAATACTATTATGGTCAGTTGGTCACTAATAACAAAAGTCACATTTTTTTGTATTATTTAGTCATATATTTGTCATTATTTTAATTTATAACTTATTTTAGGCGTTACATGAAAGGCGGGCAGTTTTCATTCGCTGCCTTAGCATTTCAGTATTTTCATTTCTACTTATATTGCCTGAGCTTGAAGACTTGAACTTCGTTATATTGAGAGTTGCCTGCACTTGGAACTTAAATTTTATTCTCAAATTTCTGCTAAATGCATTTTGAGAAACTGTTCAACTTATTTAATGAAAATGAGAAAACAAAACAGTTTTTTCCACTTTTAGTCATTGACTATTGTTGCAATGAAACTTTTGATATACAACTTTGAATTTTGCCACTTTTACCCTCCGAATATTGTGACAAACACTTTTTGTACCCATGTTTGAATTTTTCTATTTTTAGTCGGTCCTTTGAATATTGTAACAATTGTGTAAGTGACACTTAATGCACATCTGTGAACTGCTGCAGCTAAAAGAGGTGAAGGATGGATTCCTTTAGATTGGGAAACCCGAGTAAGAATTGCCATTGGTGCAGCAAGAGGCATTGCTTACATCCATGGACAGCATAGAAGGATGCTTGTTCATGGCAGCATCAAATCATCAAACATTTTCCTAAACTCTGAACAGTATGGTTGCATATCTGATCTTGGCTTAGCAAAGCTGATAAATCCGATTGATCCTCCACCGATCATTCGAACTGCAGGGTACCATCCTCCAGACTCAAGAAAAGTTACACAAGAATCCGACGTCTACAACTTCGGTGTCTTTCTGCTTGAACTTCTAACCAGGAAGTGCCCAGCATACACCACATGTGGCAACAATGAGGTTGTTGACTTGGTAAGATGGGTTCACTCTGTAGTTCGGGAAGAATGGACTGCTGAAGTGTTCGACGTGGAGCTTTTGAAGTGTCCCAACATAGAGGAAGAAATGGTAGAAATGCTGCAGATAGGGATGTGTTGTGTGGCTAGAATTCCTGTGCAGAGACCAAATATGTCGGATGTCGTGACAATGGTGGAGGGAATTGGAAGAATGAATACGGGGACACAGCCATCAACAGAAGATTCAACTCCCGTTTTGACTCCACCCATGGCTGATATAAAATCTTCATACCCCCACTGATGCAGTCTGTGTTCATGTGTTCTACATGAAACATGTATGGAGTACTTCTCAGTCAATTTTTTTATGTATTGTTTCCCATATTACCTGTTCCATTCTTAAAAGGTATTTTTTTAGTTTTTCTTATGTCAGTATACATGCCAACTTTGAGGGTCTGGTTGGAACTAAAAAATGATTGAAAAGTAAAAAGGTAGGAAAGTGAAAATGTTTGAAGAAAAGAAAATGTTGATGAAAATGAAACATCTGTTTTGCTTATTTGCTACTCCGTACTACATATTCTTTTTACTTTTCATATATTATATGAATACTATGAGATCTAATGATATGTAAAAAGTATAAACACATTAATCATAAATTATGTTTCTTTTCATATTCATAAATGTAACTAAAAACAAGAAGCAACTTTTGGCCGCATTTTCTTACTTCCCCTAACAATTCATGAGATTTAAACATAGCACAAGAGTTGTGAAAAAAACATTGGGAAAAAAATTTATATGTAACTTGTTCCGGCTCTCTGGTATACAAGTTATGATGTTTTTACTTGGATTGTTTTTTGTCCCATACCAGACTTAAACAGGCCATACCAAATTTCTGTAGTTATAAAATACACAGAGACCAGACATTTACCAGACCAGATCAGACTTAAACAGACCAGACCATCAAATTACAGTCCAAGTAAAAACATCCTTGATATGATGACATACAACATGTTGAGCCTACCTAATTTTAAATGAGTTGAACTTTAAACACCGTCTTTAGCTTGAAGAAAAGTTAAAAACACAACCTTACATCCCACTCCAAATTAGTATTCACTAATATTGACGAGATTATAAACAATAATACCATAAAATACAATTACCAAAACATAGATAATACCATTAAATATATTATAATAGCTTCCATAGAATATTGCTAAAGTATCTAGATAGAAGGCAAAGTTAATAGTAGAGAGTGCAAGATGTGTCATATTAAATGAGTATTTGAACCGTTACATCTGCTCAATGTGGGGCTATTTGACCTGTCATAACTACTAGATGCATACAACGCATGTACACATATAAGTTAGTATATGGATGAAATCCTAGAGCGTATGAAAGGCACACATGTGGTGTGTGGTGAGCCAATGGGCGTGTGCCCTCGTCCGGACAGGGTTCTCGGACAAGGGGTTGCCAGACAGAAGTGTCATATCATATCCAAGTTGGTGCAAATCTTATTGTGCCTGTTGTTGCTAATATTATTGCAATATTTAACTGCTTGTTGGGCCTATTCTAGTGCCTTGTGAGTACGTGGGCCATGTGCATACGCCTATATACTCCATCGAACTTGATACAATGTTTTGAACAAAAAATATTCATATTGACATAAAATATAAGACAATTTAATAGAGTACTCTTTTGTACTCTTTCATATTTTCAACCAATTTAAGATTGGCTTATCAAAACATTGTTAAATATTGTCTTTGTAAAGGAATATATGTTTCTAAATTCGGAGTCAATTGTGTGCTTGAAAAAATATACAGAGTAATTTATTTAAATCAAACATCAGAATGACATCATTTAACGTCTTGTTAAACACTACTTCTATAGTGGATAAGCCCCTACTAACACGACTTTGATACATACATGGCACACACACAAAAATCGCACAGTCCTCATGTAGGTGGGTGGTGTGTTTATGAGTACCATTGTGTGAAAAAAATAAGATTGCATCTAATTTGTGTGCTTGCAACATTACTCTATGTTACAAATTTGTTAATTTAGCAAATGTATTTTATTTTGATTTGAACCATGATTCAATAGTTGAAAACATGAAATAATAAAAACATTTTTAAATATTAAAATAGAAAGAAGTCCATATGTATTTTAAATAACCCTTTTAAAAGTAACAAGTTTCATAGATTTAAAAGATGGGTATTTGACAAATCATTATCATTAATATGCTCAGCAAAATTTCATGGTCGATCATAATGTGTTATCATATTCAACTTGTCTAAAAATATTTTAATTATTTGCAAGCTTCAGTACTCTCATCTCTTTTAAATATCTTTGATAATACAATAATGTGCCAAATGTCTTGTGATCGCATGATATCACTGTTAGGCATGGACTCGGTTCGGGCCGGGGCCGGTTCGGGCCTTGAACCTGTCGAGCCTCGGTTCAAGGTATGGGAGGCCCGGAACCGGCTCGGGTAACCCCCGGGTCCGGGCCGGACCGGGCCTCGTTTTTTTTTTGGGCTTTTCCTAGTTAACCCCCAACCCTCCCTCTCACCCCCAAACCAACCCTAACCACCTCAAATGGCCCAAAATACCCAGCCCAACCCAAAAACTTAAAAAAATTCAAAAAAAAAAATGGCCCGGCCCGGACCCGAACCGACTGGGTCGGTTCACCTTTTGAAGGGCCCTGAGCCCGAACCGAGATCCCACCGGGCCGGGTGGCCCAAACCGGCCAACCAACCGGTTCACCGGACCGGTCCGGGCCCGCACAATAGCGGGCCGGTTGGCCCGGCCCGAGTCCACCCCTAATTCACTGTTACCCCTTCAAATCCAAGGTACAAGTCTCAGCTATATAAAGGGGATTTGCATTACAGGAATGTAGCGATTGTGAAAATGTATATTCTTGCATCATTGAAATATTTCTACCACATGAGCCACTGTTGTCCGAGAACGATTTGTTCACCCTTCAAAAGTGGGTGAACATCACCCTCACCGCTGTCACATGGCATGACAATTCTTTTAAATTTTATGATTGTTATAACTTTTTCATTTTTGGTTCAATTTTTTCAAAAAATATATCAATACTTTTAAGTTTTTATGATCTTTCATATGGTACCAATATTGTATATGTTAGATTTAAAAAATTCTATTCAACCCGATTTAAAAAAAAAAAGTTTTTCCCAATTTTTTATACGCAATACGGATACCATTGAAAAGATCATAAAAAGTTGCTAAATCTGATATATTTTTTGTAAAAATTAGATTATATGTAATTATGTAGTACATAAAAAGTTAAAATAATTTCAAGAAAAAAATAATTGTAATGCCGAACGACAAGCATTGGAGGGAGGGGAGGGCTGATGTTCACTCTCCTTAAAGGGGTGAACAAAATCGGACTTCGAAAATAGATCATGATGATCAACAAAATTTTGAATTCACCGTTTTTACGTGGACTTGGTCTCAGTCCTGGTACTGAGACCAAATTGGATCGGAACCGCCCAATTTTTAACCAGATCAGAACCGGATTGATAGGAAAGATGTCTCAGTTAGGAGTGGACTCGGGCCGGTTCGGGCCCGGTTCGGGCCTGGGCACGGCCGGGCCTGGGCCCGGGCGGGCCTCGGTTCAAGAAGGGGAGGCCCGGAACCGGCCCGGGTAAACCCCGGGTCCGGGCCGGGCCGGGCCTCGGGTATTTTTTTTTTTTTGGGGGCTTTTCCTAGTTGACCCCCCCACCCCTCCCCCTCACCCCCAAACCAACCCTAACCACCTCAAATGGCCCAAAATAACCAGCCCAACCCAAAAACTCAAAAAAATATTCAAAAAAAAAAATAAAATTGGCCCGGCCCGGGCCCGAACCGGCCGGGCCGGTTCACCTTTTGAAGGGCCCGAGCCCGAACCGAGAATCCACCGGGCCGGGTGGCCCGAACCGCCCAACGAACCGGTTCCCGGGCCGGTCCGGGCCCGCGCAGTGGCGGGCCGGTCCGGTTCCGGGCCGGTTGGCCCGGCCCGAGTCCACCCCTAGTCTCAGTCCTAAGCCTCAATTTTTTTAGACCGAGATCGGACATGTTTCATTTTTTTGCTATTAAACCACTGGAAACGGTTTAGCATCCATTAAATATCTTAAAAGAGATGTAAATGTGGGTGGAGAGTGTTTTAAAATGTACTCCGTATTAAAACAATAAAAAACGGGACCGGAGCAGGACAGTTTGGGAACCCAAACCGGCCAGGAACCCAAAATAGAGGTCCCAGTCCCAGTCCTCCATATATTTTTTCAAAAACCGACCGGTCCACGACCAAGTCCATGCCTAGCAACACCACAAGTTAATAAATGATACTCAGTAGAAGTTTCCGTTGATGAAATGATTAGTTGTTTTTAAACTTTAAAGTTGATTTTGTGAAAAGTTGATCATATACATATATAGTCATAAAACATTTGGCCCCTAAAACAGACTGTTTGTGGAATGAGACACAAACCTCATTTGCCCCAACATTAGGCACGACCATGGGGGAATAGAGGGGCACATATTATCATTCATCACTATGGAATGTAAAAAACTAATATGTCATTGTCAAATTTGTTGAATTTAGTTGTTCAATCATTCTATATATGCATGATTGACTCCCTTAATCTCTGTGTAGTCAGACCAACCACAATCATTTACTAGATGCTACATTAGAAGGTGAGATCATTGAGGATGACATTAAGATGCATTAAGACGTTTGAGCACCTCTAACTGACACCTCTCAAACATTTGAGAGACTGGACTGCAACAAATGAATGTGAGACTACATTGCAAAGGAAAGAACGGTCAAGGGACCAAAGTTACAATTTCTTTACAGATATTATATCCAGGTATAGTAGATTATAATCTGAGATTGACGCAAATTGAGATAAACAAATAAGGAAACTGATATGTGTAGGGAGACAGCAATGAAATTAACACCTATGTGAATAAGAGGGGTAGATATCACTGGACCCTTCCCTAGCTGTCTTCCTACAGGTACCATTGTGGGACAAAATAAACTACTACGTAGTATAGATTTATTTACATTTAAGTCGGTCCGTGACATTTCCAGAAGCTAATAAGACAAGAAAGTAACTTTATGAACAAATGAAACACCAAAAATGCACCTTTTGATGACATGGTCTGAAAAGTTTTGTTGCTTGATTTAAAACACTCGAGCATTTGCGAATGGTCACACACCACGGCATTCTCCTACGCATTTACAAAACTTGAAGAGCAGCAGCAGCTAAAAGGAATCGCTACCATCATCATTATATTCTCAATTCAGCTATCCCCTTGCAGACAACACATCCAACTGTTTTGCACGCCTAGATGATGAATCCAGTGGTCGAAAAACTTTGGTAAGAGGTCGCTTGTGGAGGGCATCTTCTTGCCTTGGTGGACGGTCCAAATAATGTTGTTGCTTGCAGCCTGCTTGTTGCATTTGCATTAATGCTAGCATACTTAATGCAACCAGAGCAGTATTCCCCACAAGTCCACCCACATGATCAAGTCTAAGGGACTTCTTTACAAAATTGAAACTAGAGAAGATAACATTAAGAAGAATATTTGAACACTTCCCTTTCTTTGCTATGAAATTGCCACCCGGTGACCTGGGTGGAGAGCCAAAGAGGCTTTCAGGTGAAACAAAATGACTGGCACCCTGGACATCGGCTACCAAAGCTTGAGCTTCTTCAATGAACTTGTACCTTTTACCTCTATGATCAGCCAATCTCATTGCAAGTATAATACGACTCTGCTCCAAGCGAGCAAGGGCAACATCTTTCTCCACACGTTGCTGTTCTTGCATATTCTGCAACAAGGCACACTCAAATACTCAATGAAGTTTGCAGGATAACCAATTCTCACAAAGAGGCAACTCAAGAGGATGGGAATGTTATTCTCACAAATTTAGTTCATTAAGACTACTACATAATCTAATTGGAACATGATACTTAAATTACCTAACATAACACATAGAAACTCTAATGAATCTAAGAGTAAACGAAATCCTAAGAAATATGAAGAGCTCGTTGATCTTAATTATGCGAAGAATATCATCATATAGATCGGTCTCTCAACTACAAATTTAACACAATAAGCAACAATGGCAAAATAATCATGAAAACGATTCCCTCTAAGGATTCTAATCACAGAGTAATAGTACCCACATAAGTAGAATATCTTGATAGATCTACACTGCTGGCAATGCAAGCTTGCCATAAAGTCCACTACACATATTCATCATTCTATCTTACAATACTTTGACGTTTGCAAAAAATAGAGAGAAAATGCGAGGCTGAAGAAACTTGGATCTGGTATGCCCAAATAAACAAAACACAGAAAACAATGCAGAGCTGTAATCCTTCTACATTGGTTTCCTTTCAATTTCAGCTTTTTATTTTATGTAATTAGTCACAAATTACACACTATAGCTAGATAAGAATCAGAACACGTGAACAACCCTCCAGGGGTTCTGAAATTTGTATAAACCGAAACTGTGCAGCAGATCATTGCGACAATGCTAATTTCAAATTTAAAAGCATTAACTACAGAAATATAAACCGCCAACTGTAACAGTGACAATGCCGATTTCAAATTTCGAGTAATCAAAAGAAACATAAGCGCGGACTCACATGGAAAAATTCGAGCTGGTCCTCTAGATTCTCGAGGGCGGTACGGATAGCGTTGAGGCTTTTAGCTTCCTGAACCGACGCCGAGTCATCCTCCTCATCGACTCTAAACTCCTTCACGAAAACGAATCCAGGCGGTTTACCTTTCTTCCATGCAGCGGTGTGGTCGGAGTCCGGCTCGGTTCCCTTTTTAGAACGGTGGTGGATGTATAAATCGTCTGGTTTGCGAGGCTTGTTGATGGAGCTCAGAAAGTGAGCACGAGAGATGGAATGGATGGCGTCGCTGAGCTTATCGTGCAAATCCCATATTTTCTCCAGCACCGCTTCAAGCTCTTTCTCTTCCTCGCCCTCCATTTCCCATTTCATGGAGAACACATGAGATGAAACAGACTCAATTTCCTTTTCTAGGGTTAGGTATTTTCTTTCTTTTAAAAAAGTAAATCATACAGTACTCCCTGTGTTGTTTTAATTTTATTTCCCTCACTTTTCCCTCCCGATTTTGATTTGTTTATTTGCCTTTTTCCACCTTTGCGTGTACGGCACCCAACGCATAATTGTATGTGTGCCCGGGACATACTCCTCCGCCCCGTTGGAATATTCCCGATTTGACTTACACACATATTAAGGAAATAAACTTATCAGGGAGTAAATTTTACTGTTTTGACACTGTTTGACATTGTTTCGACACTGTTTTACACTGTTTGACCCTGTTTTGATGTAGGATAATTTTCCATTTAGAGAAATGGGAACTTTCCAACGGGACATCCAAAAAAGGAAAGCGGGAACATTCCAACGGGACGGAGGGAGTACTTAGCTGCGGTAGGTAGGCTGGGTCCGGAAAACCGAAAACCTAAATCGAATTAAAAAATAACCGAAACGCAACCAAAAACAACCAAATCGAGAAAAAATCGAAATCGAAAGGGAAAACCGAACCGTTTCTATTTGGTTTCGGTTTCGGTTTTGGCTCTCCAGAATTGAACCGAACTGAAAACAGAAACATTAAAAACTAAATATTTTATTTTATACACTTGGGCTTTTGTCCGATATTGGGGTCAATTAGTGGCTGAACAAGTTACAGTCTTCTAACTTTTTTACCATGTAGTTTAGCAGGATGGATTGAGAGCTCATTACCTTTTCTTTTTTGCTAGTTATTTTCACTGGACTATGTTGCTTATTGGTTTTTATTATCAGCTTGTTCATGCTGAAATTTGTACTACTTTTTAATATTGTATGGCAGACTAGCTTAACTACCTACTTTTAGTTGTTTGTAAAATGAAGCTCATGCTTGGTTACCGCTTTACATGGTAAAACGATGTTTTTGAGAATGGTGGTGTTCATTTAGTTGTCTGCTACTTTAATGTGTTTTCAATTACTCCGTATTAGACTAAATTACTAAATTTGCATGCCAATTATTCCTCCTCTTATTTTCATACATGGACTTTTGGTTTTAAAAAATGAATAAAAACCGAAAACAAATTGAAACCAACCGAACCAACCAAACCGTGGTTGGATATTTTTATCAAAGAAATCGAACCGAACCGAACATTTCACTTTGGTTCTGTGTTGGTTTTAGGTCAAATCCGAACCAAAGTAACCAAACCCATCCCTAGCGGTACGGACTACTTATACCGGGTTACAAGTCCAAATGTAATTGTCCGTGTACAGAAAATTTGATGTCATAAATATTATACTTTACAAAAATTAAAATCAATTGTTGGTATACCTAACATTATTCTTCTCATCTCACGAAGTTCTAACGAGAGCCGGATTTTAGCATGTTCAACATGTTTTACAGATCAGGGCCTCCCGATTTATGGGGACCCGATTTAAAAAAAATAGTATTACATACTTCGTAGTAATAATATATATTAATATTAATCAGTAAAAATAGAGTTTTTGTCGATCCTTTTAGTCATGTTTTACTTAAATTGATTGAGTGATGAGTTATGTTGCTTTAAATCAAGTATTAAGTGATTTTTAGAATTTTTATTGCATTATTTGATGAGTACTCGATTCATTTCAGTATAAGTATATAGATTGAGATTTTTTTAAAAGATTTATACTTATTAATATTGAGCCTCAATTTTACGTTTGGAACGGAGCATCCAAATTCATTAGACGGCTCTGATTCTAATTCTCTATTAATCTATTACTCACTCGGTTCCACAAAACTTGGTCAAAGTTGGTGCAAAGGAGAGAGAAATAACTCTACCCACACATTTCTTACTTTAAATGGAAATGATAAAGTTTTTTGGGACAGCTAAAAATGAAAATTTGACCAATTTTTATTGGACAATATAACTCACTCTACTTAGTTGTTAAATTACTCTATGAAAAAAAAAACGATTCATGGAGACTACCTACACTTGGGGGTGAGTAAACTAACCAGTAACCATGTGAGCCACGCTGCCTTCCTTTCCCATAAATTTGATTGTTAGGTGGACATATCAATCTAGCATACCGAGTATAAGGATTGTTTAACTATATTTAATTTATACGGAGTAGTAATAATTTTAATATTAATGTTAGGTACAAAATCAATATTTGAATAAGCTAATGTATTTTGTTTTAAATGTAGTAATTTACAAGATCGTTGACAATATCAATTCATTTTTATTTCAGTATAAAATTTTGTTTAACTAGTTTGGGATTTGGGAATATGCACAGACAAGGGTAACTCTCATTAAAATAAGCCGTTCTTCTTTGTGTACACCCTTTTTAACGTAAATTATACGGTACAGCCGGGTGTACACATACACTCGGTATTTTTGTAGTTTCTTACACCTTTAAGCCTTTTAATTCTCTTATCTTGCTCTATGTCCGTTCCTTTTATTTCTTTTCCAGCCGCTCCCTTCCTTTTCTTTTCCAGCCGCCATTTTCTTTGGTTTGTCTTGCTACTCTCTAGTAGTTTTTCATTTTGTGCTTTATCTTTTTGATTTTATTTTCTCATTAGTTTTAGTTAGTTTATTTTCTTTTCTTTTGTCTTTTTTCTTTTATTCTTTTCGTTTCTTTCTGTTCTTGTTTACTTCTTTCTTTTTCTTTCTATATTAATACCATGCACATTAGAAATAAGCTTTACTTTAAACTCAAATAAATAAAGCGTCTAAAAAGAATGAACATACATGAATTAGCTTTTGAATTTTTGAAAACTCATTCTGTAAGTTTTGTCCATTTAGTACCTTCGTTATGCTCATTTCAAAATGTTATATCAATGCATATTTCAAACGTCTCATATTTCAAAATGTTATATCAATGCACGATTCTAATACTCAATAACGGAGCTTCGATGTCCACTTTGATGCTCAACGAACAAAACTTACAATTTTTATATCAATGCTCATCATGTAAGTTATATATGCTCATTTGTATAGATCTGATGTTCATTACAAATTCATTAATTCTCATTTAACAGAAATCACGAATTCCATCAATGCACATTATGTAAGTTACGTATGCTCATTTGGTACTCATCCAGTGCTCATTTTCTAAATGTCATATCAAAGTACGATAGTATTTTTTTTGAAAGTACTATTTTACATTAGATTCACATATTGAAATTCATGGGAATTGATTGTAAATATAATTTAATAAGTTTTTATAAAAGAAAAATAACAAAAAGAAAGTGAATTAGAAGTTATGAAGCAGAGATCACGATTTTGGATATTAGACTGCTAATACTCAACATAATAAGTCTGATGCTCATAAAAATTTCATTAGTGCTCATTCACTAGAAACCGTGATTTTCATCTCAATAGCAGAGGTTTGATGCTCAATTAAAATGTCGTGATATTCATATCAATGTGCACTTGGTAAGTTATGTATGCTCATTTTGTATTGATGTTGTGCTCATTTTTGAATTGTTATATCAATGTATATTTCAAAAGTATCAAATTACATTAGACTCACATATTGAAATTAATAAGAGTGTATTATAGATATAATTTAATTAATAAGTTTTTATAAAAGAAAAAATAGGAAAAAGAAAAAAGAATTAGAAGATATGAAGCAGCGATCGTGATAATCATTGTTAGTCGCTTAAATACTCAATAAAACAGGTATGATGGTCATTAAAAGTACAATATTGCTCATTTAGCGGAAGTCATGATTTTTCGCTTAAATTATAAAAATGTCACCGATTTTTTTTAACTGTATTAGTGATTGGACTGTCTTTCTTACTTGGACCGGGTGTAGGTACATCCGCCGGATGCACTATATAGCGCTGCCCTTTTTAACATGAAAACGGAAGTTTCATACTCCCTCCGTCCCGGAAAATTAGTCCCACTTTGACTTGGATCGGAGTTTAAGAAAGTGGGAATAAAGTGGAAATGTATGGTTGTGGTTGAGTAAGAAAAAGGTAAATGAATGTTAGTCACACAAAACTTTCCAAAAAGGGAAATGAGAACAATTTTTTGGGACGGCCCAAAAAGGAAAATGAGACTTATTTTATGGGACGGAGGGAGTACTTTCTAAAAAATGCGTTTTCTAGATTATTTGCCTATACATACGGGCAAAGTAGTGAGGAGTGTACAAAAACATAAACAAACAGTGCGCACAAAACTTTCCATATTCTTTTCATTATTTGTCCCACATTAAATAAAAGATGAAGTTTTTCTCTTTTCATTGCGCATATATGGATGTACTAACTATAATATAATGTATGAATGAAAGTTCATAATAGATTTTAATAGTTTCATTTGGTTATTAATAATTTATTATCATATTTTTATTGATTAATTATTTTTTAATTTAAGTATTTTTAAGTGCAATTTAATTTAAGTTGTCTTCTTTCTTGTGTTGTAGATGAATGAAACTTTTAGGTAACATCTCACGTCTAAAGTCATCAAGGTGATGTCACTTATTTTCCTTTTAAAATAATAATTTTTATATTAAAATATCAATGACTCATTTAGTAAAATGATTACCCACAGTTATAATCGTTATCGTTGGGACGGTTATGATTTGAACAAAAATTACTCGTTAGATAGTGTAACAGTTGCGGGACGGATACAATTATATGCATAATCGTCCTAGATCCACCTCGTTACCATCTTTAAGCCCAGCCCCATTCCATGTCATCTTATCCTCTCCCGACCCCTCCCCATACCCTCTTCTTCCCCTTCTCTAATTTTTGTACTTCGTTTACCCCACCCCCTTCGTCCTCTTGTTCTGTTTTATGATGATCCAGATTGTAGTCATAGATAGGCATGGATTCGGGCCGGGTCGGGTCGCCGGTTTGTGAATGGTGGGCCCGGGACCGGCCTGAGGTAAAGGCGGGTTCCGGTTCGGGCCGGGCCACCTGCTCGGGTCACGGGCCAGGTCGGGCTGGTTAAATCCATTTTTTAATATACTTTATAGTTTTATACAAGTATTAACAACAAACTTCAAGTGCATTTATTTGAAATGAAATAGGAACTACATTTGACAATTAAGAAAAAAATACAATATGAAATTACAATTGAGAA